GACCCATGCTATATTGAGATATATAAAAGACTAAACTCATCTACTTTTGCAGGGGAATCCTCATTTGAAAAGGCTGAGTACTAATTAACTGAGACAGAGAAGGCCTTCACGACTCTTGGAGTGATTCCCGAACAGAGAGTCATACTTGTCACCTACATGTTGGTGGGAGAGGCAAGTCGCTGGTGGCAACTCAAGCAGGCCAGCCTGCCCGTTTCAGTCACTTGGAAGCAATTCTTGATGACCTTTAATGCAGAATACCTTCTAGAGCATCTCCGACATCTAAAGAAAATAGATTTTGCACACCTGGTCCAGGGTGACATGACTGTATCAGAATATATCCAAAAGTTCCTACAGTTAGGCCGATATTCTCCTGAGAGCATGATGGATGAAGGCAGAAAGGCAAGAAAGTTCGAGTGAGGTTTCCATTTTGAAATTAGACAACAGCTGTATGTGTTCGAGCTCAGTACTTACTCGACTATTCTGGCCAAAGCACATGTAGTGGAGAGGAACTTCCACATTTTTCCTACAGTAGTAAGGAACCTCAGGCCTCAGTTTCACACTGCAGACCAGCAACTAATACACCTGTTCAGCAGAACAAGAGATCTAGGTCGATGAGTCAGGCTCCTCCTCAGATTCCCACAATAGGACAAGGCAGGACTTGCCAACACTGTGGCAAGGATCATAGGGATTGACCCTGCTATCACCTCAACAATACTTGTCGTATATGTGAGAGTGCCCAGCATTATGCGAGAGAATGCCCAAGAAATCAGAACCAGGTCAGACCTCCTATACATGACAGGACTTACAACTTCACTCAGCAAGATGCAAAAGCCAATCCAGACATGATCCAGGGCAAACCTAAGAAAGAAATTTGTATTCAAAAAATTTCGGTAGTCCAAGACTTCCCGAATGTATTCCCAGATGAACTACCTGGACTGCTAGTAGATAGAGAAGTTGAATTCACCATAGATCTTCAGCCAGACACCCAGTCTATTTCGTTTGCTCCTTACCGTATAAGTCGTGTTGAGACATATGAGTTAAAGAAATAGAACAATGAATTGCAAGATAATGGATTCATTCGACATAGTGTGTCCCTTTGGAGTACCGAAGTCACATTTGTAAAGAAGGGGGATAAGATGTTAAGGTTATATATTGACTATAGAGGACTGAACAGGATCAGGATCAAGAATAAGTACCCCCTCCCCAGGATCGATGACCTTTTTGATTAGTTGCAGGGTGCCCAAGTCTTCTCTAAAATATACTTGCATTCAGGTTACCATCAGGTAAATATTAAGATATAAGACATTCCCAAAACAACTTTTCAAACCAGGTACGGACACTATGAATTCCTAGTCATGCCATTTGGACTAACCAATGCACCAGTCATCTTCATGGATTTGATAAATAGAATTTTCAGATAATTCTTATATCAATTTATTATTGTATTTATCGATGATATCTTGATCTATTCAAAAAGCAGAGAGGAGCATGCTCACTATTTGACTCAGATTTTATAAGTTCTCAGAGAAAAAGTTGTATGAAAAGCTGACTAAATATGGATTCTGGTTCGAGCAGACTACCTTCTTAGGGTACATCATATCAATAGATGAAGTGTTAGTGAACTCTGAAAAAGTTGAGGCAGTGCTCGGCTGGAAAAAATTAACCTTGATTAAGGAGATTTGTAACTTTCTAGGAATGACAGGTTACTATTGTAGGTTTTGGGAAGGATTTCTAGTCTATCTACTCCTTTGACTCGGCTCACAAAGAAGAACGTCAAGTTCGAGTGGAGCAAAAAAAAAATGGTTGACTACCGCACCTATGTTGGCCTTACTGAGTGGGACAGGTAGATTTACAATTTATAGTGATGCCTCCTACCTGAAGTTGGGTTGTATTTTGATGCAGTATAAAAATGTCATATCCTATGGGTTTAGGTAGTTGAAGAGTCATAAGAAAAACTAACCCATCAATGACTTAGAACTTGCCGCGATTATCTATGCCTTGAAGATTTGATGTCATTACTTGTATGGGGAGACCTTTCAGATCTATATCGACTATAAGAGCTTAAAACACATATTCACTCAGAAGGATCTCAACATGCGTAAGAGAAGATGGATAGAACTCCTTAAGAACTATGATTACAACATTTTGTATCACCTGGATAAGGGCAATGTGGTAGCCAATGCAGCAGAAAAAGTGCAGGTATATTATCTCACTTAATAGTTTCAGAATACAGGGCAATAGGGGCTGCACAATAAGTACAACTCCAGGACCTGAAGAGAGTTACATACTTAGCCCACCTGACTGTTCAACTTGAGTTGATCCAAAGAATAAAAGAAGTCCAATCTGCCGATTCCATCATAGCAGCCCTAAAAAAAGAAGCAGGACAGGGAGTAAATTCAGAATTTCGAGTCTCTGCCGATGGGTTGCTTAGATTTCAGAATAGGGTATGTGTTCCATGTGACAGTGAGCTGAAAAGGGACATTATGATCGAGTTCCATAACTCAAAATTTGACATGCATCTCGAAAGTACTAAGATGCATCAAAGTATGCGACACTGATTTTGGTGGAACGAGATGAAAAGAGATGTAGTCAACTTTATTTTTAAATGTTTGGTATGTTAGCAAGTCAAGGCAAAACATCAACTCCTAGACGGGCTACTTCAGCCATTATCAATTCTAGAGTGGAAGTGCGAATATATCACAATGGATTTCGTGACAGGATTGCTTAGGGCACTCTCGAGACACGATGCCATTTGGGTAATTATTGATCGACCCACCAA